ATCTTTATGCGTGACTAATAATTAATTAATAGTCTGCTACATATTGTATAATAGTTTATTGTTTAAAAAAAAAATTGTGGAATTGGTTCAAAATCTACTAGTATGCAATTTTTTTAAAAGTGAATTAGTCAAAATCAACAATTAAAAATTCTTAAACTATTATGACAAATATTTTTTATTATCATTATGCATATTTGGATAATTATAGTTAATCATTATAAATATTGTAATTTAGATATTATATATTATTTTTTTATTTTATAAAATTATTATTTGATTAATTATATAATTATTGTAATTAAAATTTAATTATAAATATAATATAATTTGTAAAATTTATTTTTTAAAAAATTAAATTTTATTTTATAAAAATATCTAATTTTTCTTTAAACAAAAGTATTTTTGAAGAAACTCATAAAGAAAATACACAATTGCAAACTGATCTTTCAAGTTTACAATTTCAATATTTAGATCAAGAAAATATTAATTTATCATCATTAGATAATTTTGAAATTCTTGAAATTTCAGAAAGTAATCTTTTAGAAAATGAAATTTGGACTGAAGAAGAAATTTCTAAATTTAAAATATTATATCAAAAAACAAAAGATATTTTAGAAAATCAAGATGATGATAATCAAAAATTAGAAGATGAAATTACTTTATTACAAAATAATGAATTTAAAGAATCTTATGATAAAGCATGTTGTGAAAAAAATTGTTTACAAAGTCAATGTGATTATTCAGTAGCTTTAAAAAGGCATTTAAATTTTAAAAATCTTTCTAAATCTTTTCAAGATATATATTTATTAGGTATTATTTCAGCTACTAAACGACCTGAAATAGTTCGAAATTTAAAAAAATCTAAGCTTTCAACTGAATATATTTTTGAAGGAAAACCAATTTGTTTAAATGCTTTTAAAATAATTTATGGTTTAGGAGAAAAAAGATGGAAAAATTTAAGAGAACATTTTACAAAGAATGATATAAATTTAAAAGAAAATTTAAGAACTGGAAAATTAGGAAATAGAGCATTATCATTTGAAACTATATTGAATGTTATTACTTTTATAGCAAATTATGCTAAACAAAATGGTTTGCCGTCTCCAAGTATAATAAATATTCAAATAATTATAGTTGATTAATTAATTAATTTGTTTATTTATTTATTAATTAATATATATTTAATAGGACGAAGTTTTAGAGATAATACTAATGCAATTATATATTTACCAGCTGATATTACTTATTCTTCATTATATATTCAATATATAGAAGCAATAGAAAATAGTAATCAATATGGAGTATGCACAACAACTTTTAATAGAATTTGGAAAAAATTTTTACCACATATCAAAAAATTAACACCAAGAAGTGATTTATGTTTAAAGTGTAAAGATATGAGATTTAATGCTAATTATTGGACAATAGAGAAAAAAGAATCTAAAGTATCTGAATGGTACAAACATATTGAATGGGCATATAAAGAAAGAGAAAATTATAAGTAAATAAATTTATTTATTTTTATTTTATTAATAATATTAATTACTTATTTAAATTTTATAGAAATTATATTAATATAGCAAGTAATGATATTTAAAAATTTGGAATTAATAATTTAATATGTCCTGGAAAACCAAATTCTTTAGATATTACAATTCATCTTTCTTGGAATTATGCTCAACAAATTCAATTACCACATTCATCTCAACAAGAAGTAAGTTTTTATTATAAAATATATTAATAATTATTTTAAATTTTTTATTAAATTATTTAATTATTATTAGGGAGAAGTTTATTTTAAATCTTTGTATAAAGTTCACTTATTTGGAATATGTGATGATGCATTTCCACGTCAAGTAAATATAAAAATTTATTATTAAATATAATATAAAATTAATATTAAATATAATTTATTAAATAATTTTTAGGTAAATTATCTTATTAAAGAAAGTGAATTAGTTGGTAAAGGAGCAGATACTGTAATCTCATTAGTACATAATTATTTTGAATTACATAGTTTAGGAGAAAAAAAACTAGTAATTCATGCAGATAATTGCTCTGGCCAAAACAAAAATAATGCTATGATAGCTTATTTAGCTTGGAGAGTATTAACAGGATTACATGATAGTATAACCTATTGTTTTATGGTTGCAGGACATATTAAATTTAGTTCAGATAGATTTTTTGGTCTTATAAAATTACTTTTACGAAAATCTGAAGTAGATAATTTAGAAGACTTAATTAAAGTAGTTGAAAATTCTACTCCTGGTGGATATAATATAGCA